TTCCTTAGTAAAGTCTCTGCCAACTTTCTTGTTTTCCTTCCTTTAACATCGTGAATTAAAGTGTGTGAGAAATATAGAGACAAAGTTTGCTAAATCCTTAATTTCTTAACACATTTTCCATTTTGACTTATTTGTTTTCTTGATGGTAAATAACCTGTGTAGATTGATTATGTGTCATTGCAACCACATAGATCTTTTCTCCAGAACAAAATGGGTGTGTTTAATTAACTTGTAAGGCTTTTAGTCTTTGACTGGAACTCTCAGAAGCTGTTGGAAACCAAAGTTTCTCAGGTACGATTTAAGAGAATTGTGGAATTGAGACTTGTAATATTTTTCTAGGGCCCTGTCCTTTACATTAATTCCACAATTCTCTTAAATCGTACCTGAGAAACTTTGATTTCTGAGAGTTCCAGTCAAAGACTAAAAGCCTTACAAGTTAATTAAACACACCCATTTTGTTCTGGAGAAAGATCTATGTGGTTGCAATGACACATAATCAATCTACACAGGTTATTAGATTATTTTAGTTTGGATTGTCTGCCTGATTTGATACTTATAGCTGTTTTTATAGAGGTTTTCTAGGCCATTCACAGACCATTGGGGGTGGGAGGCTAATATAATTGCATTATTATTATAGTTATTACTGTACATTGACAACATTTTCTATCTATCACTTATATATATGGATCCAGGCAGATCCACGCTGCTTGGATCTACATACATATTATGCCAATACATAACATCATAGGTCCTTGGGAAGAACTCAATGTGTGTGAAGGCTAATACCATCTGAAAAACTGGCAGATGTGACTTTACATTGCTCTGTTTACAGTAATAATGGAAAATACTACATGGTTATATATTTATATTTGACCTATACTTTCATCCTTTATTTTTCCTGACAGTTGAAATGAAGATTAGATTGACCAAGATGAGATTACTTGACAGGCTAGCAAAGCCTTGCTTTAAAGCTCATGGTTTTCTTAATGCATTTATTGGGTTTTTCCCATTTTAACATTTCATATTATCGAATATACAGTCAATAACATAAAAATACCACAGTGCCATTGACTCGTATAAATCCTTGTAGTTTGCTAAAAACAATTGTACTGGATGTAAATGAAAGAAAATTTTGTGATACTGTCTCCCAATACCAGTGTCTTAATACAGAATCATAATTCCATATCATTACTACCATTTATATTCTTCCGCTTAATAGCAATAAGATCTGAGTTTTCTTGACACACAAGTTGGCATTTTCTTTTTGTTAGACATAGTATACAGAGTTCAAAGCAATTTCAATGCATGTATCAAGGAAATTCCTTTTATGGCTATAAAAGCAGTTGATCCAGTTCCTTTGCAACTGTGCATAGAATATGGCTAACGGTTGTTCTCCCGGTTGCTCCATTAATAGATACTGGTATTGGAACCATACTAGTTATATCACTTTATAGACTTAAACTTGGTTTTGCTCCATATTTCATTTTTTTATTCATATTTTCATATTTCTCAGTTGAAATTTTAGTTCTGTGCTTGTATTATGTTGTTTTATCCTTTCACCTAGCTTTCTTGATATTTTTAAAACTAGAACTAAAGTAATAATGGAGCAGGATATTGGAAACTAAGTTTTTCATGAATAGAAATTCCTTAGTCCTCACCTCATAAAACAATATATTTGCTCAGTTTCATTAGTTTCATTAGGCTTTCCCCCCTCCAGAAACTTTGTAAGACTAATGTAGCAGAAATAACTCAACAGCTCTTTTTTTAAAAGTAAAATTAAGGATGGTGACTAAAATTATCCCAATGTTATGGAAACTTGGCTGCCTCTAATAATGATGCTAGGGTATGTTTTTAAAATGATTTTTTTGATGATAGCCAATTCATAGCTTCCCTCTAAATCTAGATTGGTGCTTTTTCATATATTAGCTGCATTTCTCCTCCATTTTAGTCAAAGACTCAATCAGGAGCAGGCTGAAAAGTTTGGTGAAGTGGTTAAAATTAGAAACCAAAAGACTGTGAATTCTAGTTTTCTCTTATGCATGAAAGGCAACCGAGTCGCTATCTTAGCCCAACCCTGCTCATAGGTTTCTTGTAATTAGGAGGCAGAAACATACATATACTACCCTGACTGTACAAAAATAAAAACAGGATATAAATCTTAGTGAAACTGTGTTTATGTGTCTCTATTCATATTGCAAGTTGAAGTATATAGTGTTAGGGAAAACTTTGAGTCATAAAAGGCAAAATTGCTTCATTAATTTTATTGATTTATTTGGTATTATTTATGAAATAAACACCATTTTTTTCTTATGGTAATATTGTATGCTTATTTATAATTGGATTGTAAAATGTTTGTAGTGCAATTCTTCCTCAATGTATTTTTTATTTTATTTTTCAAACTCTCACATACTTAAACAAGTATTAAAACGAGTTACTTAAAGAGATATTAAATCAAACTAGTAGTCCATTTAGCTCATTATTGAAAGGCAGCAATTGTCCAAATCTTCTCACATATTCAGAAATTGAACTTGAGATTTTCTGCAAGCAAAGTTTGTTCTTTCATGGCAGTCCTCTGCCTCATTGTGTATTTTACAAGCAACTAGGCAATCATTGGCTTACAATAAGTTGTCTTTAATCATGATTTAACAAGCTTGACTTTAGAGATTAAATGAAGTAGATCCTCTTTTCTTTCAAGACACATATTTGCAGATACCTTTTGCTGTAAATGGAGTGACAAGCACAAAATAAGAAACTCTATACTAAATTTGTGAATACAGAGCTGTGCATAGAACTTTGTATTAGTTGCCAAATCTGAGTTTTCAGTATGATATATCCTTTTTGTAGTTTATAGATCCAGAGAAATTATTTTAAAAAACACTGATTTTTTTTGTAAAAGTTTCTATAACAAAGGAGCATCTATACATTTTATCAGCTGCTGCATCTGTTTATGTTGACCAGTTGGGCATTCAGTATTTTCCAGTCATAACTTCTGGACAGGAACTGGGGCAAACACAGGCATAGAACAAGAAGGATTTACCATATACCGTCTTTCTAGTTTCAGATCGTTAACAAAATGAATACTCCAGACATTACTGGTGATATCACATTTTGTTTCCATAATATATATTTTAATTTCATAATTTAAATCTGGAGCATGCAACTTTTAAACCAAGTGCTACACTTGTATTGTATTTTTAAATAGTTGAAGTAAAATGGGGTGAGAATGAAAAAGCTAAATTTGATTTTATGTCGTCGACATTTAATTAAAATTGAATAGTTAATAATACATATTGTTAAACTGCTTTAATATTGTCAACTCATGTGCTTGTTACATTCCCTTCTCTTACATTAAAAATTGCAAGTTGATAACAACTTTGCGTATGGACCTTAGATTTTACATTTCTAATTAATGTGACTACCTGCTCTGCAATAAGTTTTTTGTTTTCAAGAACTCCAAAGGAAGATGGACAGATCACACAAGTAAGGTTAATTCTGAAAAACATATTTTAATCAGTAGAAGCAAGAACAGAACAACTTTAATCTTCTGTCATCCAACAACTGCACATAAAATTCTTTGTGTGGTGTTCAGAGCTCAGTTAATAACTGCAAGCAAAACTCTGGTTCAAGGAGCATGTGAAAATTGTTAAGTCATTTCTGAAAAACAAAGAGTAGTTATAAAATGAAATTAGATTGAGTCAGCTGTTAGTAAAATTATTTAAGCCAACAGTTATTTAGAGAACTCAAATGGCAGGTAATTTAAGTTGGGGAGGACAAGGGAGAAGAATCCACATGTGTGTAGAATTGATGTATAGCAGTCTAAAACTGAGCCCTTATTTTGGCTTACAGATACAATCAGTTTGGCAGAAATGCAATTCTAGCACATTATCTCTTACTGCAAGCACATGGCAGCTGCAATGTGACACCTTATAAATGTTTTACTATTTCAAATGGATTTCTGTATGGGGAAGTTCATAAAAATCCACAGAGGCATATCCAGGTGTTGTGGAATGAGATTATAAAAGAAACCTTGTGGAGAGGTTGTTGTTGTGTACTTGGGTACTGGTAGGAGGGAATTGGCTAAATGTTGATCTGAGAGGCTGCAAATAATTATAAATTTTTAAATGCAAACAATAAGACAATCTCTTTGGGAAAAGTTCCTGCACTGTAATACAGCTTTTCACTCATACAGTAATGTGTATTTATGGATATGGTCACTGATATCTAGCAGAAGAGATCTTCAGAAATTATCTTAGTGCTCTATAACCATTTTAGAGAATGTTCCTCCCTTTGAATATGTCCTCTGTCTGAAAGGCTGATCCATGGTAAACCTCATTTTAAAGTAATTATTTTAAAAAAGTAAGGCTCTGGAAGCTGTCATCACTATTGACTCAGAACATTACAGGCCTTTGATTATGATAGCATTTTTATCTGAATTATAGTAATTGTTTTTACATATGCATCAAAACATTTTAAGTAGAGTTAGCTTCTCTCTTATCTATTTAATTTGATGACGTGCATGTTTAAGAGATTAAAGTGCATTTTCTGTCAAGAATCCTGATATCTATTATGTTTATTCAATATTTGTTGAGTAATCCACAGTTGGATATATTCTCCCCTCCCCCAGCTGCCAAATTAAACGAACTATTTTACATTATAATTACACTTAGTGCGTTAAATATAGGATTAGTTTTTCGAAAAGTAATCATATAGAAGTGTGACAATACAATAACTGAATATTTTCAGTAGACAATTAATTAGAACTACATCCTATATAATTTTATGTAAAGCACTTTTGTAAATTGATTTTTACTTTTTGCTTCAACAACTTTACTTAAAATAACTTTTATTTTTAGTTATTTTTTGCTTAAATTTCCATCTTGGTCCTGAAATGAAATAAGGATATTTCAGATTGGAAGTCTGCTTAAGTTTGACAACTTTGACTTACCTTTGGGTCAGCTCATTAAAGATTAAGGCATTATTTCTTGTGTTCTTCTTTGCAGACCACTAAAGCATTCCTTCCCAAAATGTTGGAACTGAACCATGGGCACATTGTCACTATTGCAAGCTCTCTTGGCCTCTTTAGTACTGCTGGAGTAGAGGTTTGTTCAAATTTCTTAAAGCATATTTCTTGCATGTTGAAAGAGTTTGCTTTTATCATCAAGCTTGGTGTGCAAGATAATATGTGCAGCACTTGGGCAAAACAATCCAACTTTTGAGGAATCCATCAGTCAGGAGTAACTAATTTAGTTTCTTTAGAAAACTAAATCATCAGTGAATTAAAAGCAGTAGACATTCAGATCTTTTATAGAAACGTTTGTTGTAAAGCTATCACTATAGAAGAAAAATAAGAAAAAAAACAGTCCTTAGTTTATGAAATCTCAATGATATGAGAATTAAATTTAGTATCTCAAAATATTATTAGGGTATATTATAAATTATAAATCACCAACACAAATTTGTTCCTATTAAATGGCAGCATATCTCTAGAGGCTTTATCTAGTGCTGGGAGATGCTAAGAAACAAACCTTGTCACTGAGCCATGTGTCATTTGAGGATTCTAGATGTTATAGCAATAGCAATAAGACTTATATACCACTTTATAGTGCTTTACAGCCCTCTCTAAGCGGTTTACAGAGGCAGCATATTGCTTCCAACAACCTGAGTCCTCATTTTACTGACCTTAGAAGGATGGAAGGCTAAGTCAACCCTGAGCCTGGTGAGATTTGAACTGCCAAATTGCAAGCAGCTGGCAGTCAGCAGAAGTAGCCTGCAGTACTGCATTCTAACTACTGCATCACCAGAGCTCATTGTAATAGAGCATTCCTGGTTCAAAAGACATTTCCAAAGATATACCTAGATTTGAAGTGAAAGAATGGATTTGATAGGAATTAGTAATTTGGTAGAACTAGAATTGGTAACTGGGAGAACTAGAGCCATTTCTCCTTCCTTCCCTTTTTCCTTCGTTTTCTCTTCTTTATTCTTTCTTGAAAAGCACAATTCAATCGTTACGCCTTTGTTGTTGCTGTTTGTTTGTTTCTAATATAATTATGGTTACATTTTTTCTGGCTATTGATAGGAGATAGCAGGAAGATGCTAAGATAAGGTGATCTGTTGGCATGTCTATTCATCATGTATTGTCTTTAGAGTTACCAGCTTATTTCCTCTGCATCTCTTTGTTGCTTAAGGTGCTTAAAACATCTGATCAAAAGGAGGACATTTCTTATTTTAATAGTGAAAGCAACTGGAGTCACAATGGGATGGAACATTGTGGGACACTGCCAGTGGGACAGTCTTCTGTCAGGGATGCTTCAAACTGGATTCCTCCTATGATCATAAGGGTTGGGCTCAGTAGCCTGAGTGCAACTCTGGTTCTATATTTGTCCAGGATTAATTTTAGTTGGGCTAAAGAAGGGATAAATTAATAAATGTTAGTGTTTTAATCTGAGGTATACCTGACTTTTGTGTTGTAAGCTCCTTCCTTCCCCTGCTTCTTCCTTCTTTCTCAGTACCCTGTTATTGAAGCTTCCTAAGTTTTAAACTAAACTTTATACTATGGATTAAGATTCTGATTTGTCCTGATACTGCTCAGCTACTGATGTGAACAAAGTCCAAACTTTCCAGTTTTTGGAATCAAAACCATTGAGCAAATCTAAGAAACAAGATGCTAGTTAGTGGCTGTTTCTCCAAATTGCCTGAGGTAGCTCTTTTTTCTCTAAAAGAAAACAATGGCTGAATTGAGAAGTGGGTGGGGTTTTTTTTAAATGCTGCTTGAAAGGCAGAGGGCTTTTTATTTCTTCAGAAAGCTACATCAAAGAATGTTGTTTAAGTTTAATTTTTCAAAAAGACATTTTTATTTAATAAAAGTAAGATGATCGGTTTAAGTCTGTTTTTTTTTTTCAAAACTCTGTAACTTGTTTCATGCTTGTTTTTTATATTGCCAATTTAGGATTATTGTGCCAGTAAATTTGGAGCTGTGGGATTTCATGAGTCCCTGAGCCATGAACTAAAGGCAGCTGAAAAAGATGGTATTAAAACAACACTGATTTGCCCTTACCTTGTAGATACAGGAATGTTCAGAGGCTGCAGAATTAGGTAAGTAGGCAAGTTCTCTAAAAAAAATCTATATACAGATAGTCGTTGACTTACAACAGTTCATTTAGTGACCATTCAAAGTTACAATGGCACTGAAAAAGGGGACTTATGACAATTTTTCACACTTATGACCATTATAGCATCCCCGTGGCCACATGATTTACATTCAGATGCTTGATAATTGACTCACATTTATGATGGTTGCAGTATCCCAGGGTCATGTGATCATCTTTGGCAGCCTTCTGACAAGCAAAATCGATCAGAAAATCAGATTCACTTAACAACTGTGTTATTAATTTAACAACTGCAATGATTCACTTAACAAATGTGGCAAGAAAAAGTTTAAAATGAGGCAATACTCAAAACAAATTTCTCACTTAAACAGCATACATTTTGGACTCAATTATTGTAATTTGAGGACGACCTATATATATAAAAATAATGCAGCTATATCAAATACATTACATATAGCATCACTCTACTTGCATTAAAAATTTCTTCATGAACAAAATCATAATAAAAATATCTATTATATTTTCTATCTTATATAGAAACATGGTCTAATATATTTGAAAATATATTGGATCGGATTCTAATGTAATGTTTAAAATAGTTCATTAGACTCCCATTGCTAGTTCACCACCTATGGTTCTGCTGTAATTGTAAGGTATTATTTTTAATGTAGCATAAATGCCTCTTATATACCTTGGTTATTATTTATATGATATATATGGAACCTTTTAGATTAAAAGGCATTCAATGTTATAACTCAAAGTTAAGTCTGAAGTTTGTAGTCATATGTGACCCTTATTATGACTCATATCCTAAACAATTCTAGTTTTATAATTTCTTCTCTAGGTAATTTAATTTGACTTCATTATTACTATTTGTACTATGCTACTGAGTTCCAACTATAATGTATAGTACTCTTATAATGTATATTATTTGTCTTAATTTTTGAAGGTGCATACATTGTGGGGATGATTTGTACTAAGCAAGGACCTCATCCTATTGAATTAGTAAAACAAACATGCTTGACAGTGTATTCTGTCTTTATGTACTTTTTATCTGATATATTTTTAAAATGTGGTTTGTTTGTTTTTATTTTTTCAGAAAAGAAATAGAGCAATTCCTTCCACCTTTGAAACCAGATTACTGTGTAAAGCAAGCTATGAGAGCTATACTGACAGACCAACCTATGATTTGCACACCTCGTTTGATGTATATGGTTACTTTAATGAAAAGGTTAGATCTCAGTAAAATGTTCATCTTTTAGAAATAAATGGGCAATCAGATTTTGGGATAGATGTCCAGCTCTTCTTTTAATTAACTCAAGTATTATTGCTTGTCAAAGAAAATGTGATAGCACAGAGAGGTCCAGGAATCTATAATTATTCATAATTTATGGGATTGATACAACCAGTTCTCAAACTTGGCACAAGGCAGTGTTCATTCTATAAAGGAGAATATTTGTAGCTCACGGTTGAAATGAGAAGTCCTTGATGCTCTCTAAGCTTGACTGCTTTCTTGCAGATGTTTCATTACCGAAATGAGGTAACGTCATCAGTGCTAGACAAAAAACAGCCAAGCTCAAAGAGCACCAGGGATCCCTCACTGTTCATTCTTTCTGTCTTTGCTAGCATTGTTTCCTCTTTATTAGCAAAATGTACGAAGTAGAAGTCCTTCACCATCTACTAGAGATTTTTTGGGGTAGTAGCAGACATTGCATGCAGATTCTTTCAGGTGCAAATCAAGTTTCTACCACTGAACTACTACAACAGCTCATCAACACAGGAACATCAATAGGGCAATTGTATTTCTTTTGAAGAAATAGAAACACAAAATAGACTTCATTGATAGTTTACCAAAAAGGAAAGTATCCAAAATTTTTGAGCCTGGAGAATAATAAGGGCACATATTCTGGCCTTACTGGCTTAAGAGGCATGAATTCAGCACAATTATAGTTTTAAGTTCCATAGAAATAAATAATATCTAACTAAACCATTTCCAATCTATTGCTGATGAGTCCTGAAAGTTAATAACTTCATTTCGTTTATTTATTTGTATCTCACTTTTATTACTATTATAAATAATTCAAGGTGGTGAACATGTCCAACACACCTTCCTCTTGCTATTTTCCCCACAACAACAACCCTGTGACATAAACTGGGCTAGGCTCAGATCCCAAAGATGCAAACTTTGTTATCAATTATAAATATGAATAGATTGCCAAATACTAAGATCATGTAATCATGTGTGGCACAGATGGCAAGAAGTGTATAGACCTTAAAGCAAACTTTCCGAGTTAACTTTGAACAGCCATCAAACAACTGGTTGTAAGCTGAGAATGACCCATAACAATATTGGTCCCCTCCCAAATATGTTTGGAAGGAATCATAAAAGTGAAATTAAGAAACAGTGCATCGCCTTAATCAAAGGCATCTGGACTGTTACATTCTATGATATTCTCCCTGTTTTGATTTTATGGATTATTTATTTCTTGGAAAACCATCTTTATTTTCAAGGAACTTCACAAATCTGTATAAAGTCTTATTAAATTCCTCAAGGGCTCATACCATTTCCAATTGTTGAGGTCTCTAGATACAGTGAAAATAGAAACAGTAACACATGAAAACAAAAGCAAAGTATGAAGGAAAGAAAGAATGAGGCATAGCACAAGTATTTTGAAGTAAAAAGAATGCTAGTAAATGTTTCGATGTGAGGCCCTTTTTGAGTATGGAATCCAGCCAAATGGTCCTTCTGGTTTTTTGGCCTTGATGTCTTGAGTAGTATTAAAAAAATTAGCTAAAAATGAGTAAAATTTAAGAAAGGAAATACATACTGGTTTTAAAATAGGTAAAAGTTTGATGAATTGTTATTGATAAAATTACTGTATTACTCTACAGAGGCATTGTCAATAACTCATTAGTTAAAATAGTCAAAAATGTGTGCAGCCAAGACCAAGCCACCCTGGGAAGCATTATTCAGTGAAAAATAGCAGGGTGGGTTTTGTGCTTCAGAAGAAGCCCTTTAATTGTCCATAAAACACATTATAGACCTGTACAGAATAGTTTTATTAGCACCCAGAGCCTGTAACTCTTTGGAACAATGTTAGGATTTGCACTATTAAAGTGCAAATTTTGACTCTTTATATTACATTCAAAACATTTAATAATAAAGGATGCTTTCATTATTTTAGCCTTAGGAATTATTTGTTCCTGATTTGTTGATTTTGTAGAAGAGAAGCAAAATTTTAGAAACTTAAAAAACTTTCTATCCTTAGCCTGTCATATTTGAGGGAAGCTGCTCTAGATAGTATTTTAATTTTTCACATTTGTTTTTGCAATTTTGAAAAGCAAATAATAATCATTCTTATCGCTATATTTATAATCCTGTTTATCTATTTCCTTGTTTTAGCATCCTACCTTTTGAAGCCGTTGTGTGCATGTACCGGTTTTTGGGAGCAGACAAGTGTATGTATCCTTTCATTGCTCAACGAAAACAGGCCACAAATAACAATGAAGCAAAGAATGAAATATAACATTTTATAATGGACTGTTATTTGTAGCAGAATTATTATCAAATGCTAGAACTGTATTCTGGAGTGCACTTGCATTTAGCAGGAGCAACTGTTAACATGTTATCATGACATTCTCTTGGATCCTATACCTGAATAGTGAACAGGAAAAACATTTTTTTTAACATATTGTATGTAGAGTAATCAGAATTCCTGAGAACCATGACAGGCAAATTTATAAAAAGTAGTGGTCACTCTTGTTCTTTTTAAACTTTATTAGATGTACAGTAATATGCTACTCTTTTTATAAAGAGAAACTTTGTATGATTTCTCTTGAGATGGTCATGCAATTAGACGATTCAATTGTTTCATCAATTGTTCATTTTCTTGTGAAGTTTTCATGGGTTTTCATTTACGTTATGTAATGTAGCAGGGCAATGCTTCAAAAGCTCACTCAGTCTGTGTGGGATAATAAATTTTAATTAGTTTTTATTTTTCAATGTTGCATATATTGAACCTAAATATGTCTTCATTAACAGGAAGTTTGGAATGCTTTCAGAATGGAAAGTCATAATCCATACCATTTCGTTCTGTTACTTAGATAAGAATTATATGGCTTGTATTTAAAATCAACCATTATAAAAGCCAACTTTAATGGGAATGGATAGGCATACAGCTAAATAGTCTTTCTAGACTAGATAGTGAAATCCACTTACCTATCATTGATTACTGTCCAATAATCCATGTTTTTCCTTAAAATTCAAAAGCAAATTGAGCTAAGAACAAAAATATTGGTCCTCCTGCCAATTGTCATATTAAAGAATTACATAAACAAAATGTAACATTAGATGCAACTTGACCATTAGAAAAACTGTAAAATGTTTTTTTAATTGCATTATAGAGCAGAAAACATTTTTTTTACCTTTTTTTGTAAGAACAATTTTGTGCCTTGAATTTGGTGAACTGTATTAGTAGAATATTGTAAAGGTGAACTTCTACCTCTATATCTAAATGTATACCATTCTTTTGTAAATTTGTTTTAAAAATTGTGACTTTTTTTAGAATGTCATGTTAAATACTGACCAACTTTTGTGGTTATTAAAATTATCCACTTGTTCTTTATGACATAACTTGGTTTGATTTTTAAAAAATGCTGTTCAGGTTGGAGGTACTTTTTTATACTAATTATGTTCCATTTCAACAATATGTGTTTTTATATTCTGTTCCTATGGTAGTAACAGTGTCAAAAATATAGTTGTAGTTAATGACTTGGCCTCTTCAATCCTGATATTTCCACTATTTCCAGTGACTTTTAGAGGAGCAGTGCATTAGTTTCCGAAGGGAGGGTAGCTTTAGTATGTACTGTTGTTCAATTCTCTACAATATGGATTCCATTGCATATATATTCCACAAAATTCAGATCAAAGTTTTAAAAATAAGAAGCAGCTGTAGCAAACTACTGAAATGATTATCTTTATCTTACACTCTTCCGACAAAATGAATTTATATACAGGAATTATACAGACAATGCTGTATATTTCAAACACTTTTTCTGGCCACTATGAAGCACTATATTCTGCTATCCAATAAATAACCAAAATTAGTTGACATGTATGATGGGAATTATTTTTCCCAGCTTTGGTTCGAGTATGGCTATTAAGTTCCACCTCTGTCACTGGAAGTTTCCTGTTGCCCGTTCTACAACATGATTTTTGTCATGTCAAAATACATGAATAAATTACTGATACAGTAGGATTATTCTGATATGGTTTGCTATATCTCTGTTAGGACATGTAAGAGAGATTACCTTCTGAATAATATTTAGCACTTGGTTTAAAAGTACTGAATCTCTGTCCAGAAAAAGGGAAAATCCTTCTCAATTCAGTACTAATCAAATACAAATTTATTTCTTAAGGTAACAAAGAGATTGTAAAAAAAAAAAAAGATGATTATATGTTAAATATTCAAAGCAGTCAATATTTTAATGCATAAAAAGCTAACAAATTGTGAAAGGATATTATTAATGGATATTAATCAGAAAAGAGAGCTAGCAGTGCCCAAACGTAGGTCTTCTAAGTTCAGTTCTTCTATTACATGGAATTAATACTTGGTTCACACATTATATAAAGCCATAGTCTGATTAACTATAATTTGATTAAACCTCTTGACTAGATTTGCAAATGTGTTAAAATCAGAGTTGGGCAACTTGTAACCCTAGCTGTGTAGCTGGCTCTTGAAGACTTGTTTTTTTCCTAATAGTTGCAAGAGTCATTTCCAATTACTTTGATATATTTCAATTTCCACTATTTTGAAATGGAGACCACATGGAAGCTGTAGCACAAGTTTAAAATGCACTTCAATTCTTATTTTATTCACATACCTTAGATGCTTATGGTCCTGCCTACTGTACTCCCTTAAAATCATTAAGAGCAATATCCTGGCCAAACGGCCATAACCACCATCTCCATGACAGCATTACTACCTTACATAAAGATTCTCTCAGCAGGTTTTCCATTGTCTCAGATTTTAAGCTATAGTCTCCATCCCATTTTGAAGAATAACACATATACCACGGGTGTGAAAACTTGCAGTATCATGTTGCCATCACGTGATGTTTCACAACATGTTTCCCTTCATGGAGCTGGGGTAGACATGGCCTGCACATGGTGCATTTGGCATATGGGCTGCCAGTTTAATACTCCTGAAGTATACCATTCTCCATGCTCTTTTTTCATACATCACATTATTCACATCAAGATAAAATTGGAAGATTGTATGAGAGAAATTTTTAAGTCTCCTGCCAGGTAGATCTCTTGACAATTATGATTAACAAAGTCACAGTTCCAAACAACAAATTGTTTTCTGGAATTCAAAAAAATGATCAGATTTTATACATATATACCGTGTTTCTCATATAATAAGTCTGGATCTTATTTTTTTTTGAGCCCCGAAAAAACGGCTAGACCGTCTTTTCAGGGGTGAATTAATTTCTCCCCTGCACACCCTTGCTTAGAGCGCCCTGCGGGCAGCCACGCCTTGCCACCAGCCGCTCCTAACAACCAATCATAGAGCACGGAGAGCTCCCTACCCCCAAGCGCCTTTGCTGCAGACCCGGGTATGGTGTTGGTTGAAGGCCGGGTTGGCGGGCAGTGGTGGTGTGGATGTCGGCCTTGGCAGGGCACTTTAAATTGTGAGAACTTCGGCACCCGCCACTACTGCTTCCTCCGCCACTCTTGCTTTCCCTTCGCATTCCTCCTCCAGCAGCATTTCAGCCGCTTCTCGGGCGGGTGAGCTGCCTCGGTAGCTTCCACGGTTCCCGCCAGCACTGCTGCTGTTCTCTCGCCAGTGCTGGCAGGAACTGTGGAAGCTACGGAGGCGGCTCCCCTGCTCGAGAAGCAGCTGAAATGCTGCCGGTGAAGGAATGCGAAGGGAAAGCAAGAGCGGCGGAGGAAGCAGCAGCGGCGGGCGCCGAAGGTCTCGCAATTTAAAATGCCCTGCCGAGTGACCCGGCCTGCAACCAGCACCATACCCGGGTCTGCAGCAAAGGCGCTTGGCAGGGGTAGGAAGCACTCCATGATCCTCCATGATCGGCCGTTAGGAGCGGCTGGTGACAAGGTGTGGCTGCCCACGGGGCTCTCCTAAAGGCAAGTTCCCCCCCACCCTCCCCCCAATTTCACGTTTTAAAATAGGCCTAAATTTAGGGGGAGGGGCTTAATTTCATTTTATCCCTAGAAAACATGCTGGGTCTTCCTATGGGGGGGGGGTGTATTGTTGGAGAAACATGGTATTTATGTTTTAAAGAATTTAAAACAATATTTAAAGAGTAAACTATATAATCCACAAAGATTATGGATCACTAAAACTGATTGATTGTATTTTAAAAGTGCCCATATAATAAATGTATTCTCAGGCAGGATATATCCAACTTGCGCTTTTCCTCATTCTGTTAGACACCAGCTGTGTTTACATAATGTATTTAACCAGATCAGCTAAAGACCTAACAACTACAGGTGCACATCATGTAAAGTTTGGTTTGCAATAGAGCTTTTAAAAATAAAATATATTTTGATTTGTTCAAATGCTGGTTCTTCTGTAATAATAGTGTAAAATGGTGATAATTTGTTCCACTAGATTTTTCTTTTCACAAAAGGTTGCTTTTTTTCTGCAGAAAAAGGTTGGAGTTTGAGCCAAGTATGGGTTTTCCAATTTTGGAATGTGTAGACAATATCATCTATTTATTATTAAATCTGCATGCCACCCAACCTTTCCCCCCTCCCCAATTGGGTTGCTCCCAATAATCAAAGATAATACAATTATTATATTTAAAAAGAAGGGAAAAATACTAAAACTGTCAACAATAAAAGATAGAAGGGATCCAACTTTCACTTACCAAAGGCCTGAATGAAGAGTCAGATTTTCATGGCCCTTCTAATTAAACAACAGAGCTGGGGCTCTCTGGATCTTGAGGAATCTCATTCCAAGGGATAGTTACTGTTACAGAGGGTGCCACTTTGGGGATCCTGATAGATTGCATTGCTTAATTGAAGGAACCTGGAATTTGCCAATCCTGCAAGTCTGAATTGGCTGGCTATATACACACAAAATATATCACATAGTGTGTGTCACAGTGAAGAAAAACAGACACAGCCCATTTTGCAGAATTCATACCAAATGGTAAGTCTAAAACAGTGGCCCCCAACCTTTTTTGTGCCACGGCCCGGTACCGGCATCACAAAATGATCCGCGGCCTGGTACCGGCATCAGCACGCATGGCAAGCCAAGCCAAGCGACCGGCCAGCCAGCCGTCCCCCGCTTCTCCCCACCACCTTCAACTCCTCCTTTGTACCTTTGTCGATGGGCTTCAGGACGGCTTCGGGACGGTCGCTCGGCTCACCTTGCCTTGGGAGCTGAAAGAATCCTCGCACCTTAGTTTTGTTCGAAGCCGCCCCCCCCCCTTCGATGAAACTAAGGCGCGAGGATTCCTTCAGGACCCAAATGCCACTTTCCAACCGGAAAAGCTCACCGGAAGCACTTTCTCATCAAAACAAGATGGCGGCGCCCAGCAAACCGGAGGCCCGGTAGAAAATGTTCCACGGACTGGTACCAGTCCGGGGCCCGGTGGTTGGGGACCCCTGGTCTAAAGGAGATGATGTTTGGCCAATAACCGGAGAGCATAAATAGTATAAATCTTTGGAACTATATTTGTAATATTTAAGGACAAGGCCTCCACATCTTCACTTCCACTCTCAACTAGCACAGAAAATCGACTTATTCCATTGACTTTTATATAATCTTCATCCCAGCACACCTATCAAACAAAGCCCACTTAGATGAGTTTAAAAGTTTTATTACAATTTTGAATTAAATAATAAACTGATAAGCACATGATCACCCCAATATCCACCTGATCTCATATCTTAATTCTCACACCATAAGAGAATTACTGGTCTCCCACAACCACCCTTAAGTGTCCTTTACTAATGTGCCTCTAGAAGTTCCTGAAAAGTATCAATACATTCCTTTTCATTGCAGAAGGAATGCGTGCATGTAACAGAATTCCATCCAAATGGAATGGAAGCATTTCAGAAACCCTGGAAATGCTTATTTAACACAGCTTCCAATTGAAATGTGAAGATATCTGTTCATGATGACTGATTATCCTCTCCATCTGTGATTGTTTCATTGATTGGTGACCAAAACTGAGTCAAAGGAATTAGACAATTCCTTGAAATTAGGCAATTTCTTGAAATTAGGCAATTTCTTGAAATCACAAAAGACAGACCTACAGCTGCATTGAAAAACAGGTCTATTTCTCTGCCACACACAGAAAATTTTAAATGAGAAATATACCTGAAAAAAGATTAATGGGTACTATAGCATTAACAAATAAAAGGAAATAGCCAAACTGATTTAAAACTTTTCAGGGATGCATACATACCATTACATAAGAGAGAGACCACACTACAATTTTTTATATTTATACTTAATGTTTACTGCCTGTGCTGAATCTGCCAGATAGCTGAATTAATAACTCCCTCCTAGATTTTAATTTAACATTTAGTTTAAGATGGGAATATTATGCTAAATCTTTGGAGCATTTTATTCAAACTGTAGACCACTGTGATTCA